CGCACCCCTCTTATTTCCTTTTTTTATGCACTGCTGACTAGCAAGTTTTAACCTTCCTTTTTTTTCTCCAAATATTTAGAGTATGTTACTTTTTTCGAAACACTTTCCAAAATCTTTTATAGGTAACATATTTATTTATTACTCGATTTTTTGGCTAATTTTGAGTTGATATTTCGTATATTCATTTTTACGTTTATATATTTCTAGGTTTTACATTATATATTTTTATACTATTTGATATATTAATTTTTATTCTACAAATTGTTTCTATACATTGAGATAAAAGTGATGAATTAAAAAAATATTTTATGAATTTATTCACTGATCATTGAATTAATAAGTATATTTTCAGTTATACTTGTAGAAATTAATATATTCTGGTTATTATAAATTATTGCACACTGTAGCATATATTTTATGAATGTAAATTGTTATATATTATTTATTTTTATTTTGATTAGAATATAACTATACGCAATAAATTGCGCGAATAAATATTTAAAATTTTTAATGAATATTCAATAATGTTTCAATAATGTTTCAATAAATGTTTCCAGAAATATTTTCAAACACCTTAGTAAATATTTAATAAATTGTAATTCTGTATGCATGTTATCCTAAAATTAAATGCACATTTAAATATTGAAATAATTGCCAATGAGAGTATTGCAGATGTTCCATTTGTTACAAACTGCGTTTTATACTGTTCCACATAACTTTTATTGAAAAATTAGTTAATATTGAAAACACTTAATTACACATATTACCGAATAAAAGTCAATTCTCGTGTTTTATTTTTGTAAATTACGGATTTACGTCGTAAATTTTCCGCGTTTTGAACCGATGTAGCGTGGTAAAAACTGTCCCGCCGGCTAGAAGATGGCATGCATCGATCATATCGATATATGTCGATATTGATATAGTTTCAATATTATTAATGCTATACTTTTGTCATTATGATATTTTTTATCATCTCGCGTTGGTTTGAATTGTCGGAGTGATAATAATCGATGTCATTGCAATATCTTAGCTGTTGAGTGCAATTATTTGTTTATTATTTAAATATGTACATGAGCATAATAACACGTACAGTTACAGCTAAATTTTTGTATTTTTTTTCTGATTTTTCTTTTTTGTTCTTATTTCTTCTTTTGCGCTACGATCTTACTACGTTATATTTGTCTGACGATTTTACTGTGTTATATTTGTCTGACTACGTGACCACATTAGAGTGAGAAAGCTATTGAAAAACATAGGATAACATACAGTAGTATTGATCCGTTCTCACGGAGATCATGCTTCTTTTGTTCGATGTTATCTATCAATATTAAAATTCATTGCATGATATCTTCTATTCGCTTTTTCACTTTAACATTGGTCGATGATTGCGTAGTTGGATATGTAATGGAAAAATAAAACAAAGGAGGAAAAAAAAGAAAAAAATTGAAAGAAAAAATGTGAAAGATTATTATCAGCATAATTTTTTAAACGTATAATATTGTTGTATGATATCTGATTATCAGATGTTTTTACTCTGCATATAAATATTCCAAAAAATTGAAATTTTATATAGATATTGACAAAGTGAGAGAGAGAGAGAGAGAGAGAGAGAGAGAGAGAGAGAGAGAGAGAGAGAGAGAGAGAGAGAGAGAGAGAGAGAGAGAGAGAGTAGAGAGAGAGAGAGAGTAGAG